AAATACAAGTTTTTTAAATAAAAAAGTCGGGCGTTCATTTGGACGGTCGCAGTTGATTTGACGTGGGCTATGCGCCGCTCTCGCCATAAATGAAGGGTGCGAACGCAGCCAGAGGGTTATGTCAAATCTAATCACTCAAAACTGCACGGCGGGGTGAGAGTGTGCAGGGGGTGGGCGGCGGCTCGCGCTTTGTGTGTGTCTGCTGGGGTGGCAAATGAAGCATGCACCCCTTGTTCTTTCTTCTTTAGATATTTTGGTTATTTCATTGGTTACGCGTGTCCAGTGTAGTGTGATCCGTCTCTATCCATCCATTATTTGGGCCCCGCTGCTTGCGGCGCTCAAACTGTCATCATGAGCTGCTAATATTTCCTCCCTTTGCCGACGTGCCGACCGCGCCAACACATTCGCAATAATTCCTTCTCTCTTTGCAAAAAGACAAGAAGAAAATTCCACCTATTTCAAATATAAGAAGAAAAAAAAACATAAATTGAAACTTACAATTAATTAATTTTTTTTTTTTAAAATATAATTATTCTTTTTCGCCTATTCCTTTTGGTAATTTTAATAAAATTTGAATACTTTTTAAAAATTAAAGTATTTCATAATCATAAATAAACTCAGATCATGTGATTGCTAGAATCTGTAATGTTATTGAAAAAAAAAATTAAAATTTTGCAATTTTGTACAGCGAGTTTTCAGGAATATTCTCACAATGAGTGCTAATGACATATATTTTTTTTAATTTATTCCAAAACTTCTGATCATGGAACTTTTGAAATGATTTGTTTTGCTGAATTATTTTTTAACATTTTTTATTTTGCATTTTTTTATGTTTCACAAAAAAAAACTTTATTGCGGAGGCATGCATATGGGTTGTTTTTAAGTAAAAATTGATTTTGAATTAAAGATCTTGACAATATACTATAAGTAAATGTTACTACAATTTTAAAAAAATATGTAAAATATTATAATTTCATTTTAATTCTCCAACAGAATTTGAAAAATAGCCCGCTTTAAACTTTTTCAGAGACTCTTATGTGCAAAAAAACGAATTTATCTTGACATTTCAACTTGATTTGAGGTCGAATTAAAATATAATTAATTAATCATTATAAATATTGAGATCCATCTTATATTTTTTCCAACAAATTATCTGGTTGAATTTTCATTTATTTACTTTTTGAGTTGTGATATGGATAGTAATGCATTAAAAGACTTTGCAAATTGAAAGGGACGGGTCGACTGGTAGTTCATTAGAGCAGTGGCGTCACCGTACCGCTTTTAAAATGACAAGTGACAATTATCGTTTTATTATGTTGAACTTGAGTCGCGTGCGTCCTTCGAGCCGGCAGAGCGCGGCGTGCGCTGGGGCGATTTATATTTGCGCATGAGGTGCCGACGACAATCGCCAAAAGGATTAGCTGTCACGCAGGAAATTAATATTATTTCATTTCAAATTCAAGCCGCTGGGCAAATACATTACTCAGCAGCTCGAAAATTGTATTTAGACGGCGGGGGGAGCGAATGCAGACTGTGCCGCCGCACCCTGCCACTTTTGACGCTGCGAAATTTTCCCTCGCCCAATGCAAATATCAAGGGAAAACGATAAAAGAAAAATCGCCGCAACCGAGTGGAGAGTTTTTTTTCTACCGACCACGGGCTTAGAAAGCGTTTTATCTGGCGAGTGGATCTGTTTGTTTTTCAGCTCGTCACAAGACTAGTCAATTAGCGAGATGGCAGTGATAAAGGTCTTGCTGATCTTGCGGATAAAAGCTCGAAACCTGTGACCACCCCGATTGAAACGGCTCCCGCTGCCCGGCCTAAGCTCCATGCAAATCGCGCGCGTTCATTGCTTTTTTCTAATGGCCTTATGAAAACATCTGGTTTAAAACATAGAGGATTAAATTTTGAAAAATTATTTTTGTCATTGCAATATTTCGTGGCTGCTTTTATATTAAAAGTATTCATTATTTATTCTCGGTAAGTAAAGAATGGGAAAAAGAAAAGAGGGAGGTTTCTTTGGCAATCAGCAGATATTTGAATCCAACATCAAGGGAGACTTTGGAGAGATTTTAAGATTTATGAAATTTATTTGATTTAACATTAATTATTTTTTAATTTTTGCAAAACATTTGACTAAATAAATTGAAGTTTTTCCAATGCAACGATAAATGAATGCCATTTCTTAGTAAACAATCTAGATTAAAAGTACAGTAATATTAAAAATTAAAATATAATATTATATATTTTCTTTAGTTTAAAACTGCATTTTATTTAATTTAATTATTTTACAGAAAAATTATCTATAAATAATTATATTATTAAAAATTAAAAATTTACTATATGATGTAGTATACTGGTGAAAAAGCACAATAATTATACTAATTGATAACTGCTTTATGAAAAGAAAAATAATGTAATTTAATTATATTTCTTATATTCGCAACACAGTCAGAATATCAATCGAAATTCACACAATAGCTTCTTTTCTTTCGCGTGGGGTTTTTTTTTAATTTTTCTTAATTAAATTCATAGATTTTAAATTACTAAAAGTATAAAATAATTAAATCAAAATGCCAAGATTTTGATAGCCTTATAGCTATAGGTCTGGTAGCGGCCTGAAGCCGGCTGGGCTAAGTGAAGCACTAGGTTTGGTTGATAGTAATTTGAATTATTCCATGCGGTAATGCCAATTGTCCGCACAGTTTTTTAAAAGCTGAGTAAGTAGTATAATTAATAATTAAGCTTTATTTCAAAATAGTGAAAAGTGAATTAAATGGTATTTTATTTCTTTCCATTAGTGTTGACAAACATGTAAACAACATATTTTATTTCAGATGCACTAATTAAAATAATTAATTTAAACTTTTTCATATTATTTTTTCTTTTAATTTATAACTTAAATATAAATCCTAAGTAAGATATCCCCCTAACAAATTCTTTTGCACCTGAGATATCAATCGACTAATTATTCAAACTTAATTTAGCTCAGTTCCTGTCCATCATTGTTATCACAACTTATCACCGGAATCAAAAAAATTAAAATGCAAAAGCGCAGCGTGCGACACGCGGGCCGAAAAAGCTGATTTCGTATCGTGAAATTTTAAATTTTCAGCGTAATGTAGACGATGAGGAATCTGGGTGTGTTGTAAATATTTTTCGCTAGACCGTTTTAACATATTCAAGCGTATAGGAAACGATGTAATTTGCGACGAGAGGCGTTTGTAGGAGAAGCATGTACGGAAAAATAGCTACTGGAATACACTGTGACTGATTAGTATGTATCAGAAGGAGGGATCTTTCTTTAATACTGCGGGACGCTTTTTAGGGGAAATGACGTCACATAAAAATATAAACGGTCCTCTGAGCCGTATATATATGAAATAATGTCACGCGATAACAGGCCAAATAACACACACACGCAGTCTGTTAAGTCTGTACACAATAAAAATCTTTATCTTTCCGCCCGATGACCTCCTCTTTTTCTCTCTCGCTCCCCCTCTAATTATTTTTATTTTTCCCTAAATGGCGGATATTTCGTGAATTTCACTCTTATCGCATTTGAATTAGGAAATTCGTGATGGCCGCGCGCTTGTTTTCACGCACTGCTGAGACACACCAATGGCCGAGCGTGGGAGTGCAAACGAATTTTCAGCTTCTGTTCTTTTGTCACTCGGGTGCCGTGTGTGTGTGACTGGCAGCTTTTTGAATAATTGGCTCTCTGCGGCCCGCACGAAATGCCGATCAGGTCCGCAAACAAAAGATAAAGCGCTCGCTTCTATAAAGCCGGCGCCAGCCAGGACCTTGCGAGATAATTTCAACCTCTTTGATAATATGGCAGATTTTCAAAAAAGCTTTGCCAAATGTGGCTGACATCGTTGTCAAGGTGTTTAAATTTTGGCAAGGAATTCTCCTTTGAGAACTAATGAAACTCTTTAGAACATTTAAATTTGGATCAATGAACACTATCATGCAGTTTTCAATAACAATATTATTCAGATAAATAAATTTTCAATTGATTTTAATTAAGGAGAGAGCAATCAAAAAACCAATTTCTCAGTTACGGTTTCCCTTCTTCTACCAAAACTCTACTGTAAAGTTCCAACTATTTATAACACTGGTCGTGAATAATAAAGTTACTGAGATAAAACTTTTTGATTTTATATTAAAATTAATGAAAATATTACAAATTATAGTTGAAGCGTTAAAAATAACTATAATTCTGTTATTATTTAGAAAATAACAATAAAATACAGTAAAAATGTATTTATAAGATTTCATGAAACAAATATTAATTTCTTAAACCTCACAAATTCATATACTTTTAAATTTCTAATTATCTTATGCCCTTACTACAAGTAAAATAAATAACGTATAGCAAGAAATTAGTTTTTATACAAAGTCTTAAAAACCTGTACGTTCCACTGACTGAAAAAAGAACCCTGCTCAGCTCTCAGCTATCACTAATCATTTTGATTTAATACTAATGAAAAGTTTTTGATATCGCAAAAATCAACTCATAATTTACTTGACAAATTCAAATATTATTGTGACAAAAAGGAATTTAATAACACACTTAGCAAACTGCACACTGGTTAAAATATTTTTCTAAAATTAATTAATTAATTATTTGTCCGATTTATTTTAAATTGGAAATTTCTTTAACACGATATTTGCTCTTGATCAAATATACAAAAAAAATCCGCATGCTTGTGCAATGTGCAGTGTATTTTTTGTGCTGACGGTAGCATCATAGCGCCGTGTACACTCCGCTCTCATGTGCTTTGTTTCAAGCGGTGGAGCGAGTGGTGGGGTGGGGGGTCACCGCGGAGGAACAGGGGCACGTCCTTGCTCGGTGCTCGTCGGCAGGGCAGGCGGAGCGCCGGTCCTTGGCGACCCCAGCCGGACCGAATTGCAGACTGTCTGAACCATCCCACCCTCGGAACTAATTGCAAAGGAAAGAAAGGTCCGTTCGACGAGAGAGAGAGAAAGCGACTCACCTTGCTTGCGTGTCGGCGGCGGCCATGTTGGTGAGCACGTGGTCCTCCGTCCGGCGGTGCAGTATCGCCGGTGGGCAGGGGTGCGGCGTCCGGGGGTCCTGCCGAGGCGTCGTTCACGACCGGAGTGTGGTCCCAATTCGTGCGAGGGAAAAGCACCAAGTGAGCGAAAGAGCGAGCGGGGCTGAGCGAGCGAGCGAGCAAGTCTGTCTTTCTCCTCTCATCTGCAAGTCCTAACACAGCTAATTATCAAGTTAATGCGGCCGTCGAGGAGCGGCCGGGGGTGCTGTTCGCCTCGGCGGGCTGCCAGAGGCAAAAAAGCAGCCACCAGCACCCGAGGAACACTTTTGAGGAGGGCGTGGAGAGGCGAGAGCGAGAGAGAGAGAGAGAGATGGTACATTGATATTATAAGTCCCTTCAATCGCTGTATTCATTTGTAAACTAACCAGGGAGGCCTCATGCAACTTTCATACAATTTAAAGTGCCGTTATTCGGCTCGCTGTAGTGCTGGTTGCCGCCTTTTCATGGCGAACGCGAATAATTTCATAAAGATTATGCGGCAGCCGAGCGAATTTCACCACGCCGTGGAGGGGGGCACTTATTATATATTTATTATTCTCGAAATTATTCTACGGGCGGCGGAGGCGCTCCCACCTCCGCGCCGAGGCCGGGGGATGAGAGGATTCCTCGGCAGTCATGTATTATGTATTCGAATATATAAATATACGCGCCGTAGAATTTCAAATTATTGCGTTAGAGGCTCGCAGGCGTATTAAGAAGAACCACCCCGGCGTTTAAGTTGGAAATGAAAATTGTGCAAAATTTCGCCGGTTGCTGTTTATTCATTCCTTCTCCTGAGCCGCCGGCCGGGCTTGCTTCATCAAGTCTTTTGAATACCATCACATATTCAACAGTTTTACCCCCACGTCTCCGGCAATGCCGGGTCTGCATACGCTAGGCGAGCCGAGTTTGGGCGAAATTCGCAGCCAATCAGACGCCGGTTGCCATGGAGACCAAATTAATCATCCAAGGTGCAATTATCGAACCTAATTTGACGCGCGTTCCTCGCATTCTTCCAGCGCAATTACAATAATTACTACCTTCGGGCACATAATTTTATGCTCTCAAAACATTATAATAATTCCTTATCTGATTTTATGAAAAATTACCCTGCAATTTTACATCCAAATCTGTATAAAACGGCTCGAAAATGGTATAAAGTTAAAAAAAAAATATTAAATAAACTGTTAAAAATCTGCTTCCATCAAAGAGATACGATCACCCAGGAACATGTAAACAAATTTGAATAATCAGGATCAAGTTGGAGAGTTTTGCTTGGCCAGCTTCTGATTCACCCTCATTGTTGTCAAGCTGCTAAATTAGGCTCCTTTCCAATGCCAAAGATTGACATTTTTTACTAATTTACTTCTATTCAAATTAATTATATAATTATTTATACAATTTTTAAACGGAATTTCAATTCTACTTTCAATAAAATTTAATACTTTCTTCTCAATTTAAAAATTGGAAGCCGATTTAAGCGCCTAGTGCAAAGCAGTCGTGCGGGTTGCTTGCTCCCTAATAAGCAAGGGGCTCACACACGAATTACACACATAATAGGAATGGCACAGTGCAACAGGTTCCTGTGAGTGTAATACTGTGTGTGTTTGTACGGACGGATGTGCATCTCCTGTGTATTGCCCTCGCTGTCAGCCCTGATTAATTTCGCCTGCATTAAGCGAAAAGCCAAGGAGCATTTAATCTGCGCTTCGCAAACGAGAGACTGAGCTAGAGAGAGCGAAGGGACTTTGTTTGTGAGACGGGAATTAGCAGCGAGTTAACAAGACAGCGCGCTGCTCTTGTTGCCGACGAGCTCCTTACATACAAACAGCATTCTGACAGCAGACGCCGCGAAACTTCATTCCACAGGACGCCGCCGCCGACCAACAATTCCATTCATTACCCTTCGTTGGTTCCTCTTGAATGGAACTCTCTCTAATCATGAGCGGTGAATGAGATTCCTGTAATTGAATGCGCAAAGTTTTAAAACAATAAGATACGAAGTGAATGATAATTTAATATTAAATTTCATTTAAATTTCCTTAATAATTGGATGCTTATATTTTTATTTATGTTCCATCATACCATCTAGAGTTTTAGCAAGTTTAAGAAAATATTTATAGTTATTTATTTTATATAAAATTATAAAATCATGATTTGAAATCAAGGACCAAAAAGAAATTTGTAACTCTCCAGTTAAAATTTAAATCAATATAATGACATGAGATAAATAATATTTATTTTGGTATAATTACAAAAAACTAAAATTTAATAGGGCCAGGCATTTAACTATTTAATTAACTGCCTTGCCATTATTATTATTATAGTCGTGTTAGATTTTTAAATTTTTTATGGTATATAATTATTATTTTTTTTTATTTTGGTGGTCCACAATATGATAAGGGAAATAAACTGAAAGAATCTGAACTGATGCGTATGTTGCTTGCTGTAATTTCTGTGGAAAAAGCCAATCAGTTTGGATTATATTTTTGGTTTAATATCGATATCATCCCTTATCCCTTTTGCTAAAGAGCCAGACCACAAACAACCGAGCAGTGTGCGGTTCGATAAAATATTTTATCAAGCTCCAAAAATTAGCATACATAACTCAGACCGGGTAATGATAATAATAAAACGGCACGGTTTGATGATTTATTTCGACACATGGTGCGCGATTTGAATAATTTTTGCACGCTACCTTCAATACTTTTGACTGAGTGCACGCAAATATCTATACAAAATCTGAACAAAATTCAAAATTCCCGACCTCAAAACTGTCTGTGTATCAATCGTATATTTCATTTCAGATTTTTGATTCAATTATCTGCTAAAATAGAATTACTGGAATAATAAAATATAAAAAATGACCGAGACAGACAAAGTTATCGTGTCTGTCTGAAAAAAGGCAAATGAATATTCAGGCAGGGAGACAAGAGAGTGGCGAAATAAGAAAAGATTTACCGCAGTGAATCACGTCCGTGGCTACTGTTTGGAGGAACCAGTTTTGGCCGAAGAGCTTCAATCGGCGGCCAGACGGAAAATTAACATGGAGCCTGTGCTCCGGACGGTGTCTGGTTACTTTATTTTGCCTCTTGGTATATAAATTCAGCAGAGCGTTTTTTTACTTACTCTCTCTCTCAAGACCAGTAGCCGCGTGTATTATTATCAGCAGCACCTGTGCAAAAATGAATTCGCTCGGCAGAAGGAAAGGCTTGTTGTTTCGCGTGTTGGAATAAATAAAAGCCGCTGGAAAACAATGCAACAGAGCATTTTCATATTTTTTCGTTTGGCTTCGCCTGCGTGGCCTGGTCGCGCTCTGCTTTTTCTGCCCTCTCTGCGCGCTGCATGTGTTTTCGTTTGTTTTTGCCTCGCCACTGTGTATGATAATTTATGTCCAGTATGCTAATCATTTCGCTCTCTCGCTCGCATCGGCTGGAATTTTCCGCCGTGAGTTATGGACGAGGGACGAAGTTTTCAAAATGTTTTTGTTATACGTTCTGACTTTTCAATGTACATGAAAAGCGATTTATAATTTTGAAGCACTAAATAAAAGCTTTAATTATTTTTTTTATAAATATATTTTTTTAATAACTATTGTTAAATGTTATAAAATAATTATTTTTATTTCAAATCTAAAATCTTATGTATTTTAATTTTTTATATTAAGTCATTTAACATGATAAAAACATTTATGGCTATTTAAATTTGTTAAAAAAAAAATTTGCGTTTAAATAAATGGTTGCTTTGTAAATTTATATATTTCAGGATTATAAAATACACCATACAAATTTATTAAAATAAGCTCATGGAGTTCTGAGAAACAAGCTGAATTTTCGTAAATAGCATGTATTAACATTCACTTGGTTAGGAATTATTCCCTTTTCGTTTCTCTGCTACCATGTATGATACAAATTGATAATTGAACGTTTGTATCAGTAAGGTATTATCTATTTTGGCAGTGATTGCCTTTTGATAAATCACTAAAGAAACTTTGCAAACTAATTCAATCAAATGTTAATTAAAAGGTAACTACCCGTTTTGGAAATGATGTCCCGTGAATATGTTAACATAAGTTTTTTATTATCTAATATGTATCTAAATCTATAAGATGATTTTATAAACACGCTTTTCAACAATGCCAATTTGCAAGTCAAGATTGGAAAACATTAACGCAAGACTTTTCAGCGTACTTTAAGTGGAAATTAAAAATCCAAACTATGAAAAACACTTTCATTCTTGATTACAAAATTGTTCAAAACAATGAAGAAAATTAACATGAAGCACCCTTATTTTGATAATGGGACTTGGTTTTTTCTGATTCTACACATTTGTGTAATCCAGTCCTTTAAAATTTGAGCAATATTTCTCCAGCTTTATAATTTTAGTTTTATTTAGTTTTTCTACATTGTATTTGAAAGTTTGATATAATAGGCTGTGTAATAGAAATTTGAACATATATTTTGAAAATTTTGATCTTGAAATACGTTTTAAACTGGGAATCAAATGATAATATAAATATCGAAGTTACAGGTTTTAATTTAATTTTTTTTTGCATTTTTAGAATTGAGTTTAACGACTTATTTATACAATTAAAATTGATTTATTTTCTTCCTGCAACGCATTGAATAAGAGCCCAAAACTTGCAAACCATTTTCATCTCGCTTTTTCTTTCTCTTTTGCTGTAATAATAAAACACGTTTCTGGAACATTTTCCCCGTATATATTTCTGGTTGACCGCAAAACTGGACGTTGGCTTAAGGAGCTGCTGCGGGAGTGCAGCCCCGACGGTGATGTCTGCAGCCAATGGTGTGCATCGGGGCAAGAAGACATGCGCGCACCACTTTTCCTTCTTTCCCAGCCACCCACACGCCACCCCGCACCACCCACACGGGCACATAAAAAGCCTCACCACTTTGTGTGATATGTGAGCGTGTGTGTGCGAGGGAGGATTCATCGCAGCCTCATTGTGGCGAGTCATCAGTATATATCCATAAGTTATAAAGCAGGGTGGGCGAGAGAGAGAGAAAGATGTATTTTTTGCGAGGCAGGCGGCGGGTAATGTAAGTCAGCACATCAGGATGATCGTCGCCGCCGCCGCCACCGTCGTCATCGTCGCCGGCAAAGCCAGCCACATACTTTTCCGGGGTGTTACGGAAAGGCTTTGCGGATTTGCGGCCCGCGCGAATAAATAGGCCACATATTACCGGGCACATGTCACACGCGCGAAAAGAAAAAAATTGTACGCCCTGAATTATGGTGGCTGGCAACAGGGGTGCTTTTTATGTTCTCGTTGCAGAGACTCGCACTTGTTCGCCTATTGCGACTTTTTCAGACTTCATATTTCATTTTTGCTGACCGAGTGAATGCGCCAGGAAAATAGATTCGGCAGATCTATAGAATATAAGCCATAAATGCCGAAAGGTCTTTGGATTGAATTGGAATGGTTTATTATCAAAGCTTAAAATTTACTCCAATTCGATTTATCTTCAAATTTATTTTTATTAAATGTAAATTTTGTTTTTAGGAAAATTCCGTGATTGCTCAATTTATAAAATTAACTTAATGCCAACAATCTATAACAATATTATCTTAAACAAGGAAGTTTTATTGAATAGAGGGAAAATTGCTATTTATAACAATGATTACATTGCAGAGCTTTCATAATCACGTCAAAAGCTGCGATAAAAATGTAAAAATTACCCATGCAGAAGCAAGACTGTAGAATCAAAATTAAATTTATACTTTTTTGTATATAAAGGAATTAATTTATTCAAGTTAACTTAATTGCGTTTAAAGCCAGCTTTTCCTCCATGGTTTTATAATTTTTTTTACAAAATTTAATTCATCAAATTAAAAAAAAAAATGTTTGAAAGTTAAAATGAAGCTTTAACTTTCATTTTCATAAAAGGTTAATTACAAAATAAAAATTTAGTGGTGCCTTCTGCGCCACTAATAAAGGACACAGGCAGGACGGGATATTTAAGTTTTTATCAATTTTAACTTGCATTGTCCGTCAAATTCATCCCATTTTTTTTTGAACGTCTAGATAAAAGAGTGCCACGGAAACCGAAGTTATTAAGACATTTTGCCCATGGGCAAGGGCTCAGACGTTCAGGGTTCAGGGGTGAAAAAAGGCCTACCTTGAACTGCTGGCCGCTCCACCTGCAGTCGGGAAGAAGCGAAGCACTGGTTTTTCTTCACTTTCTCGTCAAACTTACATTTTTTGCATCACTTGTGAATTAATTAATACATTGAGGTCAACTGCACAAATCCGCGAAGTCATTTTCTGTCTAAATTCACCACAAAACACTACAATATGCGACTTTCCTTGTTTCGTTGCACACACTGACCACACTGATGAAATTCTTAGTTTACATCTGTAATAATCTGCTTATCTAAATGGTTGATGACTTTGGCTAATTCCACGCAATTTATTGGCTGACCTCCTGACGGCGGAAGAATTTTGAGAATTAATTGCCGGGAAGGACACATATATGATTACAATTAACACAGTGCAGATCAGATACTTACATATATAATAAATTAGTATTTTATTTTATATTTGAGTCGCAAATGTCAGCAATTTTGAAAAAAATTTGTTTTATATAATAAAATTAAATTAAAACTAAAAATAAAATAAATAATTTATTAAAAATACAATATTATCATAACAAAACGCATAAATTTTAAATCGTAATTTAAAATAATTTAATTTTTATAATATTAAAAAAAGGTTATAGTTTTTAACACGTCAGCAAATCAGTTGCGTGGAATTAGCCAAAGTCATCAATCATTTAGATAAACAGATGTAAACAAACAAAATCATCAGTGTTGTGTGTTCGGTGTGCGGCGAAGCAAGGAAAGTCGCATATTATTGTGAGTGTTTTGTCGTGAATTTGGACAGAAAATGACTTCGCGAAGTTGAAGGGACCTGATTTTATCAATTCAAAAGCGACACAAATGTGAGTTCGACGAGAAAGTGAAGGAAAACCAGTGCTTCGCTTCATTCCCGACTGCAGAAGGAGGAGCGGCCAGCAGTTCAAGGTAGGCCTTTTCTCACCCTTGAACCCTGAACGTCTGAGCTCTGAGCCCTTGCCCATGGGCAAACTGTCCGTAGTCCAAATTTCTGACCTCCGGTTCCGTAAGAACAGTTTTAAAAACTGCAAAACGGTTTCAAAATCATCTTAATATTAATAATTTACATAATTTTGCGTGTGAAAAATTGAAACTGAATTTATTACCTAATTGAATTATTATTATTATTTTTTTAATAATTTTCTCAGTTCAAGAATTATGGTTGCTGGCGTTGCTGCAGCTAAAAACACAAAAAACAGGGTTTTTATTGTGAAAAACCATAATCTACTTAATAAAACCTACGAAAAAAGGTTGACTTTTTTAAAACAAATTATTAATTGTAAACTTTCTTATAAATATTTGTGCAGCATTAAAATAAAATCATACCGAATAAATTGATAGTTGAAAACAGGTTCCATCATCACATTTTGCGATTTTCTGGCAAGTCGATGAGCTTTAGCACGAAATCCGACAAAAACCTCGCGGGTTAGTGTATAATATTTGGCTATCAGAAGCAGAAGCCTGCGATAAATCATCGCTGAGAGCAGGAGATGCTCCCAATATTATTGCTTTTTAGGGGAGTCGTACATTTTTTTAACGACTTCTCCCCAACAGCTTCATATATAGATAGGTACGGCATAAAATATATCGCAAACAAACGCTGCGAGAGAGAGAAATATTGGAAGCGGCGGGGCAGAATTATTTTGTTGCTCATCCTGTTAAGTGTCCATATCCGTCAGAAACATGGAGCTCTCTTTTTCCTTCTTTCTCGCAGTCTTTTACGACATTACACTTGGCAAAGCGCACCCCTAGCCCTTCTCGACCAGGGCATCGTTTCGACTTAGACGACAAAACTCACTGACTGACTCTATAAAAAGTTGTGTGGGTGAATATAAATTGTATCTTTTTTGGCTCCACCAAAAGAGAGAGAAAGTGATGCCGCCCGGCGCGCTGCAATATTTCTGCCGGCTTTCTTGTTATTATTATCTTTTTTATATCTGGCGTCATTACCAGTTTATATATCAGAAGAGATCCTTTCGGCAGCTCGTTCCGAGTTGGAAGAGAGAAATAATATTTGCCTTGTGCAGGGAAAAAAAGCAGGAACCGCGCAAAAAAATATAATTTCTCCTGCGAAACTTTCCACCGGGGGCTGAAAGAAGATGAAAAGTTTATGGGAATTAAAAAGGCGAGCTTCTCTGCGTCCAAACTTGAAAGTTATTGCAGAGGGTTGGTGGAAAAATTTGCATGCTCCCTACTTTTTGCTTCTTTGTAGTGGGAATTTCTGGACTAAAATGAAAAAAAAATGCAGCTAGGATTGTTTCTCAATAACGAATCTCTCTTCCACTGTGGGCATTTCATTTTTGTTTAAAAATTTAAATTTTTGAGAAAAAATTAAGGAAACCTTATTAGAAAATTAAAAATTAAATTAAATTGAAACAAAGTGATTCATAAAAAAAAAATGTAATCTAGCAAGATGTTTATTCAGAAGCAATAAGTTGATTCAATTTTTTTTGCATTTTATTGAATATTTCTACTTAAAAAAACCTACCTAATTTTAAGAAAGACGATTTTAAAGGACCTTAACCTTAAGGTCAATATCTGGTCCAATTGTAAATCTGTCCTAATTGTCAAACAGGTGACTCAAAAATTTAGTATTCAACTGAGATACCTTCATTAAAAATTAAGACTAAATTTAATTTGATTTATATCTTAAATATTTTAAATACTTTCTTTATTTGGTCATTTGTGTCAATTTAATTAATAAGTTAATTCCTTACTTGGGTTTCAAAATGCTTACCTCAGACCCATCGGAGATTGTTTTATTAATACATTTACCTATTTGCAAGTTCAACAAATTAGCTCGGTAAAACACGTTAATATTTCTATTTTCTCATGAATGGTAAAGTTTTTTTTTCTTTTAATCTAATTTTCAAAGATTTGCACAATTGATTATTATATAATTGAATTGAATTTTACATTATAAAACTGTGAATCTCCTTAAATTTAATCTGATTTAATCAGTATCTGAAATTAATACTTTTGTTTAAGCACATAAACCAATCACTTTTCTCTTCTATAATTCAATTTATGCTATCAATTTAATCCATTCACCATGTCTCTGTAAATCAACAAGGTCGTTGATTCCGCAAAGCCCCTGCTTTTAACTTAATTTCGCACTCCATTTCTCCAGCATGGTGCAAGCTGCCGTGAAACAATAAAGCCGCATTTGCAGTCCACAAATCTCGGCGACGCACCCTCCTCGAGCTGGCTTTGAAGGAACGAAATCGTCTCTCCAGTAGCTGCGCTTTTCGCGTGCTGGGGTAACTCGAGAGCAGCGACGAGGAATGGATCCCGAGTGTGTGTGTTTTCGAGCTCATTGAATCTTTACTGCTGCGAGACACGCATCAGACCATGAAGTCCGTGGCAAATGCGGCTGCTCGGCGCTTTTTATTATGCATTCCGCAGGCTTGCTTGCTCGCTTGCGGATAATCTGCCGAAATGACCCTCGGAACGGCCCACGTGGTGTCATCAGCCGAATCGCCCGACGCTTCGCTGATCTTTCCCTCGATTGGCAATTTGATGGCGCGCGTCCTCGGAAATCGTCAGACAAGATTCCAAATTGGCAATTTCCATGTTATGATTTTTGTGAGATCTGTAATTTTTTTAGAGGAATTCAGTTTGTTCCTCAACGAGTTTTGAAAGTCGTGTTGATTGTTTAATCAGGGTAAAAATGTTTTGTTTAGAAGCTGCCGTTTTTCAATTAGAACAACAGATTTTAAATACTTGTTTATCTGTAAAATTGGGGAAATTGCGGTTTAAATTCCAACATGTGTCAAGGCTTTATCAAGTAAAATATAATTTATCTTTAGTTGATTTATCTAGCGGTTTACCACAACGCTTTAGAGAGAAAAATCAGGAAAAAAATTATGATAAGAACTTAATTATAATCACAACGTTTAAATTTTTTTTCAACATTCTTTGATTCTAAAAATTTGGAGTTGTCACTAAAATAATAGCTATTTATTTTAATTTAGTTTTTCTGGAGTTTGTTGTTTTCTTTTTTAAATTTCTTGTTTCAGTTTGGAGTTAAAATGAGCTGCTCAGATATCTGTGTTAAAAGTGTTTTTATAACATTTTTATTGTGTCTATTCAAATTGGGTTGGTGAAAAATGGTACATGCAGTTATTAAACATAATTTATAATTTTATAAATGCTCTACATTTTCTTATTCTTTCATATATGTCTGGATAAATGCAAAAAAATACTAAGAAACAAGCATTATTTATTATTAATATTATGGAAAAAATCTCTACAAGTCTCTACTGACATAAAAGTTCTATGTAATAAAAAAATCCGTATGATTGAGAAAGAAATCCTGTTTCTGTAATTTTTTGACAAAATATTTAAATTTAAATTGAAATACATTACGTTTTTTACAAGTTATTATAATTTATTTTTTATAATTATTTATAAACCGACACAAAAAATTCTAGTGCTAAATTAAACTGAAAATCACAAATGGTAAGAAAAGCAAAAATGAAATTGAAAGCGGAGGGAAGTAAAACAACAAAAAGGATATAACTGGGTATATAAATATGACATATCTCCTCATTTAAGCAAGTAAAATGGGGTTTCACTGACAATTAGATGGTACTTCACAAATGAATTGACTTGTAGCATCGCAATGATTGGTGTCATGCAATCTATTAATTTGTATAGAGACGCAAGCCTGCACTCCGGCTTTAAAATCGTCAGGCTCTCCGATGGCCCACAAACTGCTGCTGATGGCACTTCCATCATACCATTGCAAAACTCCGTGCGTTGAATTACCATAGCTTACACCAGAGACCCACATATCACCTAAATAATTCTGGCCAATTTAAGTTATGAAAAAAAAATATTAACTTTATCTTACTTGCTATATTAATTGTCTTTTTGAATTCTTCTAGAACAATCACAGACTCAAATTTCGCTAAATTCATTTGCCTTTGCTTGCACACTGAGTTAGCCGTGTTCCAATTTGCCTTAAAATTAAATAAATTCGTTCAATTATTTAAAATTATTTTTGTCAATTAACAGAAATTAACTTACTTTCCCTTTGCTGACAAAATAACGGTATTTTACACCGCCTACGTCCAAGATGGTCAAATTGTTTGAAACTATTAATGGAAAAAAATCAAAATGCTTTTTTTAAATTCTATCCTAATTCTCACGTGCAGTTTGACAACGGTTTAAAATAGTTGTTATCAAGCTGGTCGACGTCGACGATGGCGTTGGCGATGTAGTGATGTTTGCAATTCGGACGTCCCTGTTCTGGAGTTCCTTCAGCTTCAGTGCGTTGTCCTGTTCATATTTTTCAACCCTTTCGACCAATTCTAAGAATTTGTTTTTCTATAAAAAAGAAACAGTCATCAGTGATATTTCGGTAAAACAGCAGATTTAAAATAGTATTGCTCACCGTGGAAATTGCAAAGTAAAGAAACACGCCGAAATTTATGAGGGTTAAAATTGCAATCAAGGCGAGGAGACAAACAGAACATTTGTTCGGCTTCATTTCTGTGAGGCAATTGAATTCTTTTTATTGTTTTCAGAAGTGGCTAGAATTTTATCACCAGGAAGTAACAAACTGCGCTGAGTCAAAGAGAGTTAATTTGAGCTGATAAAATAAAAATAATTATTAGTGAGGTCAACCAAGGCCATTGCGGTGGAAGGGATATTTTATTATCGAAAGTCTTAGCAAAGTTATTGTTATCCCGTTAACTGTGATTTACTTTTAAACCAAATTGACCCCTGCAAAATCTGAGCAGGACAGAAATTGAATTCCAACTATATTGGATTGCAAGAATAATGAATAGCTGAAAAGCTCAACACATTCGGCATATAAAAAAAGTTATTGTTATTGGGGACGCCTCTTTGTCGTTTCCAAAATAAAATTACTAAATTTTTGTTAATGTTTTTTCCAACAATGGAAAAAATAAGCTACAACAATGAGTTAATAAAGTAATCTAGTATAAGTTTTTATCCTGATATCATAGGAGAGACATTCAATATGATTTAATTTAATTGTTCATGTTGAAAACAAAGGGAATCCTGAAGTTACTTGCAAATAAAGTTAAACATGATATTAGGCCTTTTCATTATGCATTGATAATTTTAGATTATTTTCAGCCATTTTAACAAAATAATACTACACATTCCTAAATATTGTTAAGCAAAAAAATATAAAATTTCTCATTTGTGTGATAAAGCTCAGGGTTTTGTGTTTAAATTGGACACAAAACTTTTAACAATCAGTTTTCCTTTCTTCCACAATTTTCTTCCAAAATGTGATAAACTGTACTACATGCTTAACAATAGAATATAAATTTTAAATTAACTTTTATGTGTAAATTACTTAAAGTCAGGTAACATTGAGTGTTGTTGCATATTACATATTTTGTGTCTTTACCACATGAACTAAATTTTAATTACGCGTCATAGACTTTACAAGCTGGTGAACACCAGCGTTTTCCCTCAAAACAAGCAATGTGCGCGCAATAAAAATGTAATCATCATTACTTTTTCTGGCGGCAGAGGGAGAGTTTGTGAGCTGATTTGCATAGGCAGCGATGAATAAGAAAGCGCCCGTAACAGCTCTTTCTCTCTGGCAGAACCACCACCACTTGGGTGCACATAAAAAAGTTAAAAAACGAGAGAGCGAGAGAAGAGGAAGAAGTGCAGAGAGAAAAGTTTTCCTCTCTTCTTGTTTGATTAGAGAGCCCCAAGAAAAATAAAGGGGGTGTGTTAGCGGCGCGATAACATTGTGGGATTAAAAAAGTAACTGCACAACGCGCCATCAGCACTTCATTACACGACCAGAGAGGAAGAACATTCGCAGACAGACGCTTCCTTTGGCGAAATGAAAAGATGCGGCAACAGAGCAGTGCAAACATTTCTGCCCGACGACTCGCACCCAGCCGTGGCTCGTTTCAACCCTTCCGTTTCGAATGCAAATTTCCCTCTCATAGGAGAGTGTGCGAGACCCTCTCCAGCGTGTGCATCTTCTTTGGCTTTGATTTTGACGTTTTGCTGAAAAATTCTACTTGTTAAAGATGACGAATGAAATTGAGAAGCTCTACAACTAGAATAATTAAATTGAAAAACAAAATAAATAAATAAATTCAAAAATAAATTCCTATTGTAAATTAAGCAAAATGAGGACAATAATAAATTAGCACTCTGTTTTCACGCCAAACCAACACAAATTTACAAAAAAATAAAGTTCCCCACAAACACTTTCCATTTAATAAAATCAAGTATTTTTACTGTAATATGCGTTTTTCAAAAGTTAATTGTAAATTTATAAATTGAAGGTATTAAAAATATTATTATATCTTTTCTCTTTATCCTTTTTTATACAAAAGTGCTTTCAAGTTTGGGATTATATATGAAGTTGACGTATTAACATTTTTATCATTTTTATACATATTTCATTGTTCTTGTGCAGGTTAAGAGTGAAAAATGAAGTTAAAAAAAATGTAAATATAAAGCAATTTCACTTGCAATAAATTCTGCTTTACTCTTTAATGACATTTTCGCAAGAAAATTTTGTCTTTGGAAATACAAAATTAAATAAATTGCTCATTCACTCAGGGACGTTACTTAGCTGTGATGAGAGTCATTTGTAAATTAAATGATGTTATTCACAGCAAAAAACTGGATCAGCGCACATTATAGAGGAATAAAATCTACATCAAATGAAGCTTGCAGCAGCAAGAATTCTTTTTTGAACGTTTCGTGGCAAAATTTTGTTTTTTATAATTTTCCACTCACTCAACAAAGCATGCGAATGGACTGCTTCAATTTTAAACAAAATTATTGTATCATCCAAACCATGAACTAAATTTAGCAGAAATTTGAAGATCAATTTATTTAATTTAAACCTTCTTAACTGCCCCAAAAACAATTTATTGAATGGAAATGAGATAATGTAGCTTCCATTAAAACTGAGTATTGTCATAAATCATTCACTTTGCACTTTTTTAACACTTGACGCAATAACATTTTAACTGCGCACAAGATTTATTTGAGGCGTAGTTGAAAATTATTGAAATTAGAGTCGTGGCTGTCAGGGGAAGCGGTTGCAGCACGCGCGCGCGCCAAATAAATTAAATCGGAGAGAGGCGCTTTGGCATCGCTGCAGGTGGTTTTCTTGATTAATTAATTGCATAATTAATAATTCACCAGGGGCTCCGGTTGACACTCTCAGCGGCGCATCAGCATTCTCTTCGCTCTCTCGGCGAGATGATTAATTAAAACAAACTCCGCGGGCGAAGAAGAAGAAGAAGACGCGCGATAGCGAATTCGAGAGCATATTACTTTGAATGTGCGGTCTTTAGCGGAAATTGCACCCCGCTCGGCGTCAAGTAAAAGGTGTAATGCGCGTTGTACGTGTCAAATTATCAGGGCAGGCCAATTTGCATGCAAACCGTCGGTGGAACGCGACCGAATTACATATTGGACTCTTTGTGTATTTTCCCGACGAGATAACGAGCAGTCAACAGATAGTTATACGTTGCACCGTGCATTTTTACGAAGTGCTTTTTTTCGCACTCTCGCGAGAAAGGAAGTTTGGAATGGCACTGAATGTTAAGCAGGTGATTATGAGACGCATTCTGCCTTCCTTCGTCGTCTCAAAGCAAGGGTCATTAAGTGAGGAAATGAGGAAAAAACTCCCTCGATTAACAAAGAGTTCGCGTTGCCTCTAATGACGAAAAGTTTTTTTTTATTTGTTAAATTCAAACAGGAACAAGAGATAAATAGTATGTTGTCCGTTTATAAAAATGTAAAACCTTAATTTAGAGGCTTTTGTTTCATAATATTTACAAGTTTCATTTTCCAGCAAAATAATCAGTAATTTTCAAATTCATCTCTCAGTTTATTGCGGCTGTTCTTCGTTTTACTTCATTTAAATAAATAACAATGTTCTAAAATTATAAATTATTTAATACATTTTGCAGCACAAAATATAAAGAAAAATTACATTTAAATTTTGTAATGCAAAAAATTTCAATACTTTAAATTAAAATCTCTTAAAAATAACGTAATTTTGTCATATTATACGAGAAAAATGTCCGTTTCCACCAGTGAATTTTTGGTAATTCTGCGAAGTGTAAATAATGACGAATTCAAATTTTCTGCGACAGCAATAATTCGTTGGTGCGTCGCTCTGCCTTTATAATATACTCTGTTGCTATTTGGTTTTTTGAATAAATTACCATTCGCTTTCATACCTGAGCGAACCCGCCGCAAAATACTCGCTCATTATACACACCACACACACAAAACCTGCAGCGGCACCAAAATTAATATTGTGGGTAGCCTCAATTATTATTGTTAACTTCCTCCCTGCTGCGGTGTGGCGCTTCTTGAAATTTCACAGCCCTACACTCGCCGGCTATTATTTTTGTGCCGACGAAAAATTATGTAAATTTCCCACCGACGACGCGAGGCCAAGAAAATACCCCGTTGAATGGGAGCTTTTCTCATACCGCAGCAAGTGAGAGAAGCCAGAAGTTATTTCTCACATACCATTCTTTTTTGCAGGAAACGCCGCGTTTTGGTCCCATATTTAGATAACCTTTGAGTAAAAATTTCAAAGAATAAAGAACTTAATTTGCATAAATGTTAATAACTAAATATTTGGGAAGAAAACTAAATAAAGTTCTATTCTAATTGAAAAATGATTTTTTTTTTATCAATGAGAGGATGAACCTTTTTGTGCCGAAGAATGGTTTTTCATTTTGAATTGGAAAGAACTCACAATTTTTTTCTTGCTTCTGAGCCTGTTTGAAAATTTCTAAATTTTGGCAAAATCACTTTTTTTTTTTTTTTAAATAATTCCACAAGGTTAAAAAACTTTTGGCAGGAAAACACCTTTGATTTATTCCTGTTTCAGCACTTTAAATTGCAAAATTTTCAGCAATTCCTCTAACAATAAATTATTTTATCTACTTTTTTATTCCACAACATAATTCGTTACTGCAGAGGTCCTGTTAATCATTCAAAATTTTAACAGGGGGACTTACGGAAACATCCGATTGATCAGGGCCAAACATGATCACCCAAAAAACGGCGAATTTCGCTTTGTGTTTTTAAAGCCCTGCTCTCTTTTCAGTTGACCGGCTTCACATATTATCGCCCGCAAAAACAATCGAAATAAAAAAGTCCACTGCGTTTTTCCATTATTTTCGCACAGCGTGTTTTTATTGGCGAGAGCGAACTGTCAATTGTTTGCTCGCTCGCGAATATTTTGTTTGTCTCTGAAAACAAGGATCTCTCGCTCTGTGAATGCCGAGCGCGTTATTTGGCCTGCTGATGCTTTTCATCGTCGGCTGCTCGCACGGATCTCTGTATTTATATCTGAATTGCATATCATTAGCATAGATTAACGTACATTAGAATACATTAAGCCAATTAGAGGCCTCTCTGCCGTATCGGCGCGGTAGACTCACTCCTCGCTCGTGATACACCTCCGTATTCAAGAGAGCAAAGTTGCTCCTCGCGCAAAACACATCTCACCGACTTCAGCAGTATTTGTGCTTTAGA